AAAAGATGAACATGGGATGTACTCACTCATAATTGGTTTCTAGCCATTAATAAAGGTCACGGAGTGTATACCTGGTGAACCTAAAGAAGCTAAATAAGAAGGTGAACCCAAGAAAAAACATATAGTTATCCTCTTGGCTAAGGGAAGTAGATAAAATTGCCGGGGAGAAAATTGGGATCTTAGCTATCATCTTGAGATTGCCCCAAATCACCTTATGTGAAAAGAGTCTTGAGGCACAGGCCATATTAGTTAAAAAACCTGGTGAGTGATCTACCTGCCAGCTAAAATGCAACACTCCCTAGATTCTATTTCAAAGGACCCCTCCCAGCAAGTAAACTGTTCCAAAATCAACTGCACTGCAGAGGCATTGTCCCTGCTTCTGGCTAAATTTTGTTGCGTGGGCATAGGTCACCTCAATCAGAAGAGTTGCAGGCCACAAGAGTAAGAACAGAGTCCCCATGCTGCACCAAGTGCAAAGCTAACTTTCTAAAGACTAGTTCCTAACCTCAACAGTGACTCACTTCCAGATCAGAGTAAAGAGTTGGAGATTTTGCAATTAAACCTCCTAAGAAGCAAGCTGGTGAATCTGTCCTAATATGACAAAATGACTTCAAACTAAAATTAATTAAAAGAGATGGAGATGGACATTTCATATATTCATCAAAAAAACAAGCCTAAAATTATCAGATTTGATAATTCAAATCTGAACATCTATGGCCCAATACAAAATCATCCACTACTGATTTTTTAAATTAATTTTACAACCAGTCAACTCATGGAAGGTGTTTATGAGCGTTAGGAATTCCCTGGTTGAATTTTGGGGTTCAGTTATATAGACAATCATATAATCTGCAAACTGTAATATTTTGAGTCCAACCAGACTCTCTGAACATGGTGGACAACTAGGGCTGACTGAGAAGCCAAGGACAATGGCACTGGGTTTTGATTCTATTGTATGTACTGGCTTTGTGGGAGCCTAGTCTGTTTGGATGCTCACCTTCTTAGATCTGGATGGAGGGGGGAGGACCTTGGACTTCCCACAGGGCAGGGAACCTTGACTGCTCTTTGGAATGGAGAGGGAGGGGGAGGAGAATGGGGAAGAGGGAGTGAAATGGGAGGCGGGGAGGAAGAAGAAATTTTTAAATAAATAAATAAATATCAATAGTCTTCCTAAATATAAATGGTAATGGGTTGAGGGAAAGAATCAGTGATAAAACATCCTTCACAGTTTCTACAAACAGTAAAATTGATCTTAGTGTAACTCTAACCCAATGTGGTGGTTTGAAAGATAATGTCATCTAAAGGGAGTGGCACTATTAGGAGTTTTGGTCTTATTGAAGTAGGTATGTTACTGTGGGAGTAGGCTTTGGGGTTACTTTGGCTCAAGATTTGCTTTTGTGACAGACATATCATTTCCTGTTATCTGCCTGATATAGGAATCTCAGTTAATTCTCAAGCTCTTTATCTGTCTGCACACTGCCATGCTCGTCTCAATAATGTCAATAGTGGAACATCTGAAACTCCAAGTAGGCCAACTCAAATAAATATGTTCCTTTATATGAGTAATGATAATTATGGTTTCTCTTCACAGCAATATAACCCATAAGACACCAAGCATATGAAAGACCTTTATAACCATAACCTCAAGTCTTTGGAAAAGATATCAGAATATGGAAAGGTCTCCCATGCTCATGGATCAGTTGGGTTAACATTGTAAAAACAGCCATCTTACCAAAAGCATTCTATAGATTCAATGTAATTCCCATTAAAATTCTAACATAATTCTTTACAAAGCTTCAAAAACGATGTTCAACTCCTTAGGAAAAAAACAAAGAAACCCAAGAAAGCTAAAACAATCCTGTATAATAAAGGAACTACATGAGGTAACACCACCTTTATTTTCAATATCTACTATAGAGCTATAGTAATAAAAATAAAAAAATAAATAAATAAAACACAAGGTCAACAATGGTATCGCTCTAATTTTAGCAATAAAAACTAAAAATTTATACAACTTATACACATTGAATTCAAACCTCCCCTAACTTTCCATTTATTATCAAAAGATTGATTAAAGAATAAAGATTTGGCTCATTTTCCCCAAGCACTTTTATATGGTTGAGATGTGTTTATGTACAGTGTATATTTTATTCAAATTTAAGACCAGAATAAAATTCTTAAGTCTTGATTTTAACAGAAAAAAAAAAACAGACAGGTGGGTCAATGGATGGGAGAAGTAGGCATAGGAACAGGAAGGAGATGTTGGAGAGGAAAATGTTGTCAGGGTGCCAAAATAAACAATAATACAACAGAAAAGAACACAAAATCTCAACCAAGTTAGGCCAGACTATATATTTCTGTGAATGGTTGTCTTAATAATTGATACAGGAGAGCTTAGGCAGGTGGTCCCTGGTTGTATAAGAAACCAGCTAAGGATGAGCCATAGTCTGAGCCTGCAAATGAGCCAGAAAAGACCATGTTCTCTGCCTTGACTTCCTTCAGTGACACAATGTGACACAGCCTCAGTAGGGAAATGGACTCTAATCTCTCTTCTAAACTGCTCATTTTTATGGTATTTTCATGACAGGAAATGAAAGAAACATAGAACAGTGTATAGGGAAGACACATTGATTTGAAACAATTTGACTTGTATTCAACACATCCTGGATAATGAAGTGGTAGGTCCATGTATGTCTCTCTTAGGGTCCTCATTGTTGTCTTGGTTCTTTCTCTGGGATTGTGAATAGTAGGCTGGCTTTCCTTGGTTTATATCTAAAAGTAGAAAAAGACAAGATATCCTGAGTAAAGTTGGAGCATACAGGCTATGGGAGAGAGTAGAAGCAGAGTGGAGAGGAAGGGAGGGGAGCAGAGAAAAATGTATAGCTCAATAAAATCAATAAAAAATTAAAAAGAGAAGTGGTAGGATTGGCCAGAAAGTACATGTGCATCCCCATAACTTAGTGTCCTCTCCTTTTTATTACCAGTAGGATTTCTCTGGGTAACCCCAGCTGTCCTGGAACTTGTTACATAGGCCAGGCTGGGCTGGATATAAGAGATCAACATGCCTCTTCCTGAGTGATGGATTAAAGACATTTATCACCATTCCTGACTCTGTTCTGTCCTTTTAATCTCAAGAGAAATGTCTGCAGACTTTACTCTGCAATTTCCTAGCAAAAGACTCCTGAGAATGCCCTTCCTCTGGATTCATACTGCTTCCAACTTTAGTTCAGGGCTTTCCAGGACAAATCAAGAATGTTGTCTTAACCAATCCTACAGTAGAAGGAATCAGGAGTACTAAAGTATACAGTGATCTGGATGACAGGTCCTGTAACCCACCTGTGCTGAATGTATCAGGGAAGCTGACATTTGGATTCTAGACCATGCTTTTGGTAGCCCTAGACTTGAGATTGCAACTTTCTCAGTGATCTCCAGGGGTTGATAGCAGTGTACATGCTCAATGCTCTGGAAATTGTTTCATTGAGCCATGACCTATCAGAATGCTATTCTTCTTTGTCCCTACTAACACTGAGTTAGCTCACTAGACCCTGCTCTGACCTACTGGTTACTTACTTTGTTTGAGATGACTCCACCAAGGAGTCATCTAGGAAATGGCAAATGTGATCAGAAAGAACAAGTGTATGCCTAACACAGTGCTAGAATGTTGTCCTGAAACCCTCCATAAGAAGATGGAATCCACAGTCTTTTCAAGGACACACAGGTCATCTCTTCCCCAAGGCTGAGCACATGAAATTCCTCATACAACTGTTCCTGGACCTCTGTCCTAGTTCATTAATTTGACTGGTGCCAATAATGATAAAACACTGATCAACATTCCTAGTCATTACTCAGTGGGTCACTTTTCACATGTCATAAAGATTCTGTAAGATTCTTGCAGGGATTAAGTATACACAGGTTAGACTGGGGGTTCAACTGTATCTCTGTGACACAAAGGCACGTAGGCATGAAAGACCTAAGGCAAAGATACAGCAGATGTCAGGCCTGGGGTGATCCCTTTTTCTCTGAGGGCATGGGGATTCTTATCTGAATTGTCCTGTGTGTTGCTTGACGGAGAAACATAAAGGGGAGTTGAGAAGGATGTAAAACAGCACTGAGAGTAGAAGGGACTCAAACCCTATCTCTCACAATCCATTGGATTCTGTGAAGTTCTCCTGTCTAAGAAAAATCTCACACCAGGGAGGAAGAACAGCAGAGCCTGAGTTCTGTGCTGGACCCGAGGCTTTTCTCCTCAGAGGCAGAACAAGAAGTGAGAAGATTGATGGAGGAGTTCTCTGTGCTTCTCCACAGGGTGCGTACACCATGGAAGGGGCTTCTTCTCACAGGTAAGGATACCCATTCTCTGAGTTTGTTGGGAGGGAAACTCAGAGGCAGGTCAGAGTCTCATAAAGAGAAAAGGATCTTGAGAGGAGACTCATGTTTCTGATTGCAGTTATGGTGCAGAAGGTACAGTGAGGGACAGAGGCTCAGCACAGTGAAGTTCTCAGGAGAAAGGAATTGATGATGGTATGAGAAAAGCCTCAAACACTCCACATTACCTCTGAATTACATAGGCTCTAATGTTGTGAAGACAGTTCTTCCACAACCATGTCAGCATGACCCTCCAAATAGAAGTTAAGCTGGGGATGGCTAGAAAGGTGTCTTAGTGTGGAAAGATATGACAATCTGAAACCAATCCTCAGGTCCCACTCAGTAGATGGAGAGAACAGACTCCTGCAGGATCTATTCTGCCCTCCACATAGGCGTTGTGGCATGCACCCACACGTGCACACTCTGGTACATGTGCTCCACATAGATTTGTGGCATATATCAACATATGTACACACAGAGACACCAGCTTCACAAATACACACATATTTACATTAGTAAATCTAAAGTTATTTTTTTCACAGTTGAATGTAATTATTGTCATAACCTCCAAACCTAGGAACTGTAAAGAGAAATCCATGGAGACACCTTCCTCTTTCCCTTCTTCCCTTTTTCCTTTATTCACTTGTGCCTGAGTCTTTACAGGGAACTGAACCTACCAATAAATTCTAACTACTCCTGGCTTTACAAATGCCAAATCTAAATGGGTGATAATGTCTAAAGCCTTTAATACCAGCACTTGGGAGGCAGACACAGGTGATCTCTGTGAGTTCAAGTATACCGTAGTCTACAGAGTAAGTTTCAGGACAAGCAAGGTTATACAGAGAAATCCTGTCTCAAAAAGCCAAAACTAAAACCAAAACCAAAACAAAATAAACTAAGAAACAAAATGTTCTGGTTCTAGTTTACCTGATGCCAGTTTATCCAAAAGATGAAGTCATGGCTTTACTAGAATCACAAAGAAAACAGAGTTGAAAATCAGAAAAAGAGGACTCTCCAGATCATGAGTTCAGAGAGGCATTGCTCCTCACACCAAATACTCTATGTGAGGAGATATATGGGACACCAGCAGGGGTGACCAGGCAGCCACCTAGGCAAAGAATTCCTAAGAAAATTTTCTGATACTCTTAGACACTTTGAGCCAATGGAAGTCATGTTGCTCTTGTCTGCAAAGAAGGGGGGGGGCACCCATAGTCACACACCAAAGCTAAATGATGATCACACCTGGTTAAATTGTGATTTTTCTCAATTCCCTTCTAGCCTCCATTTTAGGCTTCTGGCACATGTCCACTACTGCCCATGAGACCACTGAGTCACTGCCACGCCAAGTCGTTGTAGGAGACAACGTTCTTTTGTTTGTCCACAATCTGCCAAAGAATCTTATAGCCTTTGCCTGGTTCAAAGGGCTAACAAATATGACTCAAGGAATTGCAGTATATACACTGCACAACAATTTAAGTGCACCAGGGCCTGTGCACAGTAGTAGAGAGACAGTTTATAGCAATGGATCCCTGCTGATAGAAAATGTCACCCAGAAAGACACAGGAATCTATACCCTACGAACCTATAATAGAAGAGGAAAAATTGTATCAACAACATCTATGTACCTCCATGTGCACGGTAAGTAATTCATTGTGAACTATGTGAGCTAGGTGAGGTTCATTTCACCGGACACATATAGGAGTGTTACTCTCTCTGTGTGTGTGTGTGTGTGTGTGTGTGTGTATACCTACTTTTCCTATGTATTGTATTCCATGTTGTGATTTGAGCATTTACTGCAGGACACATATGTTATAGAACAACGGCAAATAAATTAGAATCCTCCATTTGATGTCATCTTGAACACAGGTGGATGCATGATATATAACTCATCCAAGAATATTAACCTGTATCTAGACTCTAGGGGTTCATACTAGGAATGTTTCCTTGAGAAAGACCTGGAGGCAGTGAATATTGGGCCTGATTGCGAAAAAGATGGGATCCTTATTGAGCTGTGAGTAGGAGTCTGCCTTGTCTCCAGATCTCTGACCCAGACTCAACTCCATGTATCTATGAACAACATTTTGCAAGTGTTGGATTTTGACTTCCTGATGGCAGCAAACAGTGATCCTTAGTTCTCAGTCTTGTGATGTATGCAATCAGACAGTACAATGTCATGAGAGTCTTGATTAGTCTACATTTCTTGGCAATCTTCTTCAGAAGGGGAACATAACTCAACAAGTGTTAACTAACTATCCTGTTGGTATATGAGATTTCTTTCACATGAAAGTCATTGTCCCCAAGGAGAGGGACCAAGGATACAGGTTCTCCTGATAAGTGCTTCTCCTTTGGGTTCAACTCAAGGAATTCCCTCCTGTAGTCAAATGCTACAAGATATGGTGATCTGACAGCTTCCAAGACTTGGCTTCAGTTCACCAGGGATGTCACTAGGACAGACAATGAACTACAGTAACGTATTTGTTCGAACCAGGAACTTCCCCAGCAGCCTGGTTCCGTTTCTGTTTTTTCAGGCCTGTAAATAATGGTCACAATGTTCTCAGACCTACTTACTATTTAATATGTCTGCCACACCACCAGGAGACCCTGTTCTGTTTTCCATTATATGTGTTTCCTTTGGAAAAATCCATGGTATCCAAGGGAAATCCACTAGACAGAGGTCAAAGACCTCTTAGAAAAACCATGGAGCACAGGGGCAAACCCACTACAAAGCTCAGCAAACAGAGGAAGTGGGAGCATTGTCTTGAAAATCTTGCACAGGATGAAGGAGCTCACAGTCATTTTCCAGAAATCATGTCAGTTCCTCCTAAACACCCAAGATGTGAAAGTCAGGATACATCCTGGGCCTGTAAACTCTGTCAGAACCCAGTCTGATGGTGATTCCAGTGAGAACAGTTTTGTTCTTTTCCACACACATCACTCACAAGTCCCTTTGGAGTCTCAAAGGTAGTTTTGTCACCTTCTTGTTGGGAGTAAATTCCATGTTTTCAGAGCAATGTAAACACAGGGCAGACTGGATGCTCAGTGAGGTTGGTTGTGCAGATTTTCCCTTTTTGGTGCTGATTAACGCAGGCCAGGACATACAGAGTGCAGTTCCATGGTCAACAGCTATTATCTTTTGTCAATGGATGGTCATTGCCCTTTGTTACCATTTTGTGTTCTAGAGGACAGAAACATAAGGAGAGAATGGGATAGGAACATGAGGCAGGACTGAAATGGAGGTACAGATCAGTTTTTTAAACATAGACCCACTTACTTGCCATGAGACTTTGGGAGGTGCTCCTTCCTGGGGCGAGGCTCAGCTCATGTGAAGGAAGAACAGTAGAGATTGGAAGCTGTAGTGTAGCAGAGGTTCCTCAGAGGCATGACAGATCAACATACTCAGACAATGGAGGCCCCCTCTGTACTCCTCTGCAAAGGCTGCATCACATCTTAGGAACTTCCACTCACAGATGAGGAGACCAGGATTTGACAGTGCATGAAAGGAAAGTACTGTACATCATACTGTCTGCAGTCTCCTGAGTGGTATGAGAACATGAGATGAGTCTCTGTGTTTGTAGGGCAGAAGATACAGAGTGGGGGAGAGTCTCAGCAGTAGGATGCTCTCATTGAATGTGAAACAGTAAGGTGGGGGATACATTATTCTTGAATGAAGTTAGTAGGCATGAGCACAATATTTTTGAAGACTGGTGCTCTCAACATGATGGCCAAAATAAAAAATCAAGCTGGTGTGGATCATTGATTTTTTACAATGGATATAGGCATCTTCTTTGTTGTCTGACAATCTGAGACCAATGAACAGATATCCTCTGACATTCACTTAAGTACTGTGTCCCTGACCCACCAACACATACTAGATAAGCAATTATAATATGTAAACATGTGTGAAAAATCAAAGAAATGTAATGATCCAATATTGTATTCCTGAATCTGTGAGTTTCTTAAATGAAGCTATGGGCATACAGGATTTTGAGACACCATTCATTCATCTCCACACATATAGGAGGTTTTTTTTTTGTAGGCATCATTATTTTTTTAAAAATTGAAGACAATTCATGGATCTTATGATGTCCCTGTTTGGACGAACTTGAAATAAAGAAAGTTAGAATGTTAACACAGATGAAATTAGCTGCAACCTCAAGATGAATAGGAAAAGAAAAACAAAAGTCAGAGAGGAAAGGCTCGGAGTCTATAGGGGAAGAAGTTGGGCAGACATCACCTCAATTCCAATCAATTGCAAATGTGAGCAGGGATCTGGTGGCATTAAACAGGGGCAATGTTGATGTATGAAGAGAGAGTCATACACCAAACATAACAAGTGTGGGGACACTGAGAACACAAAGACCATGTGCTGACCTCTACCAAGTAAGACATGGAGGTGCTCACCCACAAATCTAGGCTGAGCAACAGACACAGTTGCCAAAACACAGGGCCTCGTCTTAGTTAAGTATAAATGTTATTTAAATGGATCTATTTCTTTCCTTCTAGCTTTCCTTTGGAAGTGTGGGCGCCTTGCTACCTCTTCCCAGCCCACCATTGAACCATTACCTCCATGTGTTGCTGAAGGGAGAAGTGTTCTTCTACTTGTTCACAATCCCCCAGAAAATATTGTAGGCTTTGTCTGGTTCAAAGGAAAGACTGTGTCCAAGAACATTGTGGTTTCACAATATACACTAGGCAGGAAGTCAACTGTGTGGGGACCTGCATATGGTGGCAGAGAGACATTGTACAGTGATGGATCCCTGCTGGTTCATGGTGTCACTCAGAAAGACCACGGATTTTACACCCTACGAATTCTGAGGGCAGATATGAGAAGTGAAGAAGCACGGGTGCAACTTCATGTCTACAGTAAGTGATTCTCTGTGATTGTTCAGTGTTGGGTGGGGTTAGACACACAATACTGTCATGGCCGGTCTAGTCCTCCCCTTAGCATGGTGTCTCCATGTGGAGGTTTGAGCATTTAATGCAGGATACAGTGTTAGAGATTAATGGCCATAGATCAGTTTTCATCTTCTGACTCCACCTGCATCAAAGAAGGCCTTGATGAAAAGTAATTCAACCTAAGATGTCAGAGTCAGTTCAGTCATCTGGGTCTCTAGACCAGAGAGCCCTGAATCCTGTCATATTTCCAAGGCTATACTAAAATGATCTAGGGGAGCATTTTTCCTGTGCTCTACTCTTACCTCCTCTCAAAACTATGATTCCTATTGGCTTGTTCCTCATGTTTGTTAAACTTGCTCTCTTGTATCACACAGTATTCCTATCCCAGGTCTAGGAACTGCCTGAATTGGTCTGAATACTTTTGTATCAACCCCAATATAAAAAATATACTATAGTTTGCCCACAGACAAAACAATCAGGTGATAGCATTTTCAACTAAGGACTTGTTTTGAAAAATGACCATAGCTTGTGTCAAGTTGACATAAAACCTGCCAGCCTAGTTCCCAAGACCTTTAAAGATCTATGCCTGCCTTGAAGATCAGACTGTTCCCAGCCACCACACAGGCCCATAATGAAGACTTGACAGAATGAATCCATTTGCTCAAAATAGAGGTCAGAATCTTTTCACCAAGCACAATGATCCCTACATGATGGCTTTTTTCTCTTTTCACTCCCAGGCTCCGTTTCACTGTTCTGTAATGCTCTCAATTCTTCCCAACTCATGATCCAGTCAGTGCCTCGGTATGCTGCTGAAGGGAAAGATGTGTTTCTACAAGTTCATAATCTTCCAGAAGATGCAAAAGCCTTTTCCTGGTTCAAATCAATATCTAGGACCCATTTTCAAAAAATTGTAGAGTACAGCAGAGTCAATAATTCCATCACCTGGGAACCTGCACACAGAAGACAAGGGATGGTGTTTGAAAATGGATCCCTGATGCTCCAGGATGTCACTGAGGAAGATGCAGGAATCTACACACTAGCAGTTTTAAACAAAGATTTCAAAATTGAAAGTGCATATGTGGAATTTTATGTGAAGAGTAAGTGACTTTCTATGGTCTCCAACTTCTGGGTGTGGCTTATCCTACTTCATATTCCAAACTGTCAGGATTGGTCTATTCCTGCTTTCTCCCTCACTACATTGTGCTCT